CCCCCCGCGAGCTGAAGCGGGGGCGGAGCCAGCGGCACCAGATCGAGTATCTGGGTCAGAAAGGTAAAGGCACGACCGGCTGCCTGTGCCTAACCCGCCTCCACCCTAACTATCCACCCGATTGGCACAGGGAGTCTCCTGCCCCCGGGCCCCTCTCTCTGATGGCCTGGCCACCCCCAACGCAGCCAGGGTTTCCTGACTTGCAGTGCAACCTCAGCTTGGCCTGGTCACTCTACCAGCTTTGGGAGCTTTTTGTCTCTCAACTCAATAACCTTATCCCTACTCAGCCACTTCACTGACACAGGCAATACCCTGATCTAAGCCTGGCCTCATGCTGCCTGTCCAGGACACCCTGATCAGCAGCAGAGTTGTCTTGCACCACACCTCTACCTCATTCCTGCCTAGCCACTCCATTGGCACTGGGTGTATTCTGCCCTGCTCTCCCCCTTCTGTCATGCCTGGATATCCGATTGGAAGTGTTTTTTGGGTGTTTTTTATCTCATGCCCCTATCTCCATCTTGCCCAGCAACTCCATGGAAATGAATATTTCCTGCCCAGCCATCCTCAGGAACCAAGTACCCTGCTGTACAGCTTCACCTCATGTTGCCTGGCCACCCCATAGTAATAGAAATCTCTTGTCCTGCATTTCAAACCCAGCCCTGCCTGACCACCCCTCCAGCACTGGAAGCATCCCGTCCCTCAGCCCGAACATTCATACTCCACCACCCCATCAGCAGTACCCTGGGTGGGTGGGTGGATGAGGTTCTGCAGCCTGCAGTGTGTAAGAGGTCCAATTAGATAGTCATGATAATTACTTCTGGCCTTAAAGTCTATCCCTGTGTAGCCACTCCACTGGCACTGGGTGTGGCCTGATTGGCATCCTACACTCACCCCTGGCCAGCAACTCCACCAACACAAGAGTTACATTCTTCCAGAATTATCCACAACTGCACAGGGGTTCTGGCCATTGTGACCCTTTCCCTCCTCTGTACAGCTCTTCTTTGTACCAGAGGAACAGTGATTGCATCACTCAAATCCTTCACAACATCTTTTATTTTGCCTCCTTTCTCTGCACTCCCACCTCCTCTCTATTATCCTGGAGTTACTTCTCCACCCACTACTTCACTTTCTCTGCCCATGCAAGTGTTACCTTTTCCTTCATTTCCACAAAAGTTACTTTCTTACCTCTCTTTCCAAAACAAACAGGAGCTGGTTCTGCTACCAAGTATTGCATTCTTCCCAATTACACTGCTGTTTCTCCTCTCCATAAACTGTTCATTCTATCACCTGCACAAAAGAAAGAAGGATAACCAGAATTTCATCAAAATATTCAGTACTTGAATGGTGACCAGGTGCAGCATGAGTGAAATGCATAACTGAAAATATTGGACCATGTTCATATTTTTCTGAAATCTGTCACACAAGACATGGGTTCCTGATTTTTATATGAAATTACATAAATGTCAAATAGTGACCAGCTGTCACTTATTCCTGAAAGATTTGTTGACCTTACCATTGCCAGATAGTGCCTTAAGGAAACAGGTTTTGTGAATTTATTTAGCTCTGTGTGACCTTATGCACAATTTCTATAGTATTAAACTAGTGAAGCTTGACAACTCTGTAAACTTGGCCATGCATTACGGTTTCTTTGTTATTAAAGGTAGCATTTGGGTCACTTTTTTTTTTCTGATGAACTTTTTGACATGTTAGCTTGTTTGTTTGGAAATAGAGTCTGAGGGGAAAAGGTAAACAAAGCTTTTACCTCATTTGTCTTACACTTTGGAAAACTTGAACTCAGTCAAAAGCAAAATAAATCTATCCAAGAATGTTCATGAAAACTAAGCAACTGTGATGCCAGATATTAAGCAAAGGAGGACTATACAAAGGCCTCTTGTCTCCTGGTACTAAATCATTCTTGTTGATGGGGGGGAAAAAACCAGGAAGTGAAACCTGCCAATTTCTTCAATTCTGTGCAAATAGCTTTCTACATCTATATCTGGCCTCTTAAGGTGATATTACTCTGTCTGATGTTATGGAGGGAAACCACAGTCTTCCTCAGTTTCTAGTGGAAACTTGCAGTTTCAACTCATGATTCGTTTAGTCTAGAATATATTTAATGAATCAAAGTTTGTGAGGGTTTGCATGAGTATAACTGTAAATTAGTGAATGGCTCTGATACACAGGAAAGAATAAAATCCAGCTCACTCCCTCTGTTGATTCTACCTTCAACCAGAGTAAAAAACTAATTCTTACTCCTAAGTCCATGAAAATGATCTGATTCCTCTATGTATTCAGAATCTACAAATCTACAAATAAAAGTGTTCCATATATGGTTTCCAGAGAGAACCATATTTTAAGGTATATATGTAACTGCATAGCTAGTAAGTATTTTAGCTATATCTGTCACAATAAGCACAAATTTATAAATTAGAAAAATTAAAATTCTTCCCTTTCACAGTGTGTGTAAGTTAGTTATTGACTTTGGCTTTGCTTCTGAAAACACTTATGCATACGAGTAGACCCATCCAGTAAAGCTTCTATAGTTAGAAAAGCAACATGTGTAAATGTTTGCAGGACTGGGTCCTTTGAGTGACTGCTATTGCAGTTATTACCATTAGTCAGGTGCAGGCAAAATATGGCCTGGGGGCCAGATCTGGCCCTCCAAGCCTTTTAGTCTAACCTGTGGCATACACCACTAGACCCAGAGGCAGGGAGTAGATCCGGGTCTCAGAGTGGCTGGCTGTTCCATCTGCCCCTCTGTGCTGGGGGGAAGTGGGGGAAGCTTTGCACACTCTGAACCCCCTCATTCATCTAAACTGCTTCTCAGACCCCACACCCTCTTCTGCACCCCAGTCCCTGACCCTGAGTTCCCTTCTGCACCTAACTTCCATCCCAGACCTCACGACTCCTCCACAAAGAAAAGTGAGGCCCTTGACCACTTACCAAAATCTTGGAGTGGTCCCCCATCAAAAATGATTGCCAACCCCTGCCATAGGTGCTACAGGGAACTCAGGTTGTGTGTTTTAGGCTAACTTATAATAATTTTGTGTTCTGCTTATTGACAGATGCTGATGAATTGGCAACTATAGTACGAGAACTGAATTACAGAATTTGTGTTCAGTCAGCAAAGCTGCTTCGTCATCTGAAGCAGAAAGATAGGCTTTTACATAAAGTGCAGAAAAACTGTGATATTGTCACAGCATGTTTGCAGGCCGTTTCCCAGAAACGACGTAAGTACTGTTTTGCGTACGTGTATATTTATTGCGATTAGTTTATTTAATTAAATAATTTGCAGTATTTCAATTAAACCCTTGAATTTCTCGCAGAGTACTCTTATGCATTTTCAACTTTAGCATAGAAGAAACCTTTTTTGTTTCTGCTTGCTGTGTTTAATTGTAAACTTTTGTATGGCTTGGGGAGTTGGTAAGTGCTATCATTTTTTCTTTATTATTAACTGTATATTGTATGTGTGTTTTAATTCCAGAGTAATATTAGTAGTATGCCATTTCTTTGCTAAGTGGATTCAGAACTATAGATATTGTTAGGAAGCTTGTATATCAAAATCTGTCACTTGTGCAAGTGTTTCAAAATAAGAACTCTAGGGAAGAAGAAAAATGTTGCTTTCTGAGTGTTAGTTTGTTTTTTTTCCTCCAACTAAACAGAATATTTTTGTATTTGATTTTTTATCATTGTCAAAAAACTAAACTGCTTTCAATAAGTTGTTGTACAGTGAAATTGTGAAATATCATATCTAAAATCTTATCGTAGCTTTAGAAAGGATATATGAAAATTACCTAACATTCCGTCTTATTTTTTTATTAACACGCAGCGTGACAGGTACAGTAAATGTTCAGGTAAAGTAAATATAAGCATGACCACTTACAAAAATGCCTGCAACAGCTTTGAGGTGCATGTAAAAGGTTTATTTTATAAACTTACTCTAGTGACATTTGCTAATGGGGTGTAGTTAGGGGTTTGTTTCTATTATAAAACTAAGTCTTTGAACATTTACAAACGGTTATGTGCTCTGCGTGAAATTTAGCAAATGAGTTCTCAGTTGACATATAATACTTACAATGCATGTTCTTCCTCTAATCTCTCCTTTCTTCCCCAGAAAAATTTTTAAGGCCCCAATTCTGCAAGTGCTTACGCACAAACAAACAAGATTACCTTTAATTTTGTGAGTGGTCCCAAAATTGGGCCCTAAACAATGACAGTGAAATCCTGGAAACAGCAAAATCAATGGCAAACCTCCCATTGATTTTTACTGGATTCAGGATTTTTCACCCTGAGTGTAAAGAATGGTGAATCTGAATTTTAGGTGGGTTTTTTTCAGTTCATGCTATTGGAAAGTGGCACTTTAGTTTGAAAGGGAACCAACTAGCTACCCCGGAAAAAACAATTTCAGTTTAGAAATGTGCAGTTATTGTTTAACAGCTGTATGTGTGTATGTATGAAGCCTAGTTACTGGCATGAAGTATATTTAAATGCTTTTGTATTTAGTAAACTTGTTTTAACATTGTGATAGATATCTAGACACACTAGGGATGTAAATCGATTGACTGATTAACCGATAAGCAAAAGCTTGTAGTTTAATGCTACAGACTACATGAATCCCCTCCTCCAGCCAGTAAATTTTTAGCCAGGCTGGCCAGCAACCTGTCTGTTCTGGCTTGCAACAGGTCCAGGACCTACCCCCGCTGCGTCTCTGCATTTAAAGTATATTAGGAGGTAGGTGGACAGGCAGCCTGGCTTAATTCCAGTTCACACCAGGTCCAGGAGCTCAGACCTCCCCTCTTCCTGGACAGGGGGTTGCTGCCACCTCTGCATCAGAGGCAGCAGCTTTAGGTGACAGGCAGCCGGTCTGCGAGAGAGGCTGGTTTTTAAATTGGCTTCCCTTGCAGACCAGCTCCCATCAGGCACCCTGTGCTGCTGCCTCTTGATACAGAGGCAGTAGTGCGGAGTGGCAGGGGGCTCCTCGGGAGTGGGGCTGGATTTCACTGGCTGCTGGCCCCGCTGTGGGGACTACAGAATAGTCGAGTAACCAATACGAATTTATAAGGTTACTCAATTATTCAATTAACCAATATTTAATATCCCTAAGACACACACAAATCAGGAAGTTCAAATGTAACCCAAAACAGCTGTAACTTAGACATCTTGAACATTTAGGATGTAATCCAAACCTCACTAAAGTCAGTGGAAAGATTCCTGTTGACTTTCATGGGTTATTGATCAGGCCCACACAGTGTTCATTTTTATGCCTTAATGTAAAAATACTAATACTGTATATGTACAGTGTCAGAATTACATTTGCTGTGAGTATAATTTTGAACATTCTGATATTTATGCATCTAAAATCTTAGAAATGTTATGGCAATAACAGATTTTTCTGCTTGTCTTCAATTTTTAAGAAGACTTAAAATGAATAATTATTGTGATAACATTGAAATAAATGCATAATATGAAATAACCAACATTTAACTGAATTTATAGCTTGTCTACATGCCTCAGTACTTGTTAAATATTAGTAAAAATCATTGGATGTTATACATTATTGTACTAGAAGCATAACGTTTTAAACCTCTTTTTGAATCTTATCAAAGGTAATTGAATTTCCTGTCCACTTGTCTTTCAAATACAAATGTTGTTTCTAGTGGGTACTGAATTTTTTTTTTCAACTAAGTTTTTAAATATCCAGTTTCTGGTAGGTGAGCCATTATTTGAAAAGTACTTAAAGAAAAATGTTGATAAGCACCAGAAAAATGAAAGTGTGTTTTTGTTATGAGAAGTATAGCTTTCTAATATGCTGCTTCATATTAGTAAGGCAGCATCTTGTATTACTAACGAATGTTTGTGTTAAGAGCCAATTAAGGAATATCTGCGACCATCCTCCCCCCCTCTCTAAAAATGTCTCAAATTTTTCTTAGTGACAGGCTAAAAAATTGTTCAGACACATAAGTTAAGACATATTAAACATTGCTTAAAAACCTACATATTTACATAATGGCTCTGTGGCAGATGTACAAAGTTTGATAGTATGTTTATGTTGTATATAAAAAACAAAGCACACAGCACTGAAATTTGCATCTAAAGCTAAGAATCCAGTCTTAACTTGCCTGTGATGTTCAGTTGTTACAATAACCTCCTCACCTATAATAATAGATCAAATATAAACAAGCACTTTTGTTAAATAGTTAATGGAGTGATTCTGCCTGGACTCTGTGCTTTATTTATATGATATATTTCAGACCCTTAAATGAACATGGTAAATCAAATTAATCCCT